GCCACGTGCTCCCAGCCCACTAACCCTGGCTGGGGCTTCTGGCTGGGGGGTGGGGCCAGGCAAGCCCACTGTTGTTGGAGCTCGCCGGGCTTCCCCTGGGTTCCACTGCCCTTGGTTCCATCATTTTTGACAGGAACCAAGGGCAGATAGATATTAATTTTCTACATTTTTAGGGGCCCTGTGGGCTGGATAGAATGGCCTCATGGGCCGCATCTGGCTTGTGGGCCATATTTTGCCCACCCCTGAGTTAGCCACTTAGGTACCACCCTGCCCTGCTACCTGACCACAACTAACTTCCTCTCTGTAGCTATCAATATAGATATCAATATCAATATTGATTAGATCAGTATTTACTCCTCCATTAGACAAGCTTATCCTGATTTTGGGATATCTATACAAATTCTGTCACCTTTATTACTGATCTGGGCCACAGAATGAATCACAGTGAACAAGCAACCCTTATAATCTTTGCACGTTCAAGAAGTGAACAAAGAGACAAACTCTATTAGGCACATGACACAATGCCATATGCCTAGAAGAGACAGGAACTAACTCCTGTCTGGAAACAGTGCCTGTATACATCCAGTTGCTATCATATAAGGAAAGGCTGTATCATTGTACAAAAGACAATGGTTCAAATTCGTCAGAACATGCCATTATTCACCACTGTAACAATCTTGCTGCATGCATATAGGTGGAATGGCTACAAAAACATCCCTCAAAAGGAGCAGCAGCAGCTTCAAGGCAAACACACAAGGTACAGAGGCTAGTGCTATCGAAGTTTAACACTAAAAGTTTAAGACCTAAGGAACCAAAATATTATTCTTAGACCTCAATCATATAACCAGAATAACAAAAAACAATACTCCTCTCACATGACAAGGAATAGCATCTGCTGACTCCAGAACTATTACCAAATTACCAGAGTCCATTTACCTTTTGGAAGCCCTGTGCTAAGGTTCAGTTTTGGGACCCTGTTCTTTACTAGAAGATGTATGCATTATATAACCATAATGCAACAGAGGCTCCTGACCCCTTTGGGGCACTATAAAGATGAACAGTTTGCACTGCCCAAATGCCACCGCTAGGCTAGACACAAAGGCAGGTTAGTAGGCAAAGGAAAACCTTTAACCTTTAGGTCAGGAGTGGGAACCTGCAGGGAAGAAAGGGTTCTGAGGAAAGAACCACAAATGTCAAAAGAAGTATAGTGGTTAGGGAGGAAGATCCTCAGCTCTAGATCAGTCAGAGATCATCTGAAACATTGGTGAGGATTAACCCAGGTGGAATACCAAACACTATCAATGCAGATTATGGATACCAGCATGTGACATACCTTACTTGGTTGCTACGAGAGACCCCCTTTCCTGGATGCACTAGGAATATATTCCTATGGGATTTCAGCAACCTCAGAGAGAATACGAAAGAATTGTCGTCTCCAGAGTTAAGTGGAGTAGAGCAATCTGTACACTTGCCTCTGGAGTAGCAGATCATAAGTTGATTAAACCAAATATTCACAGTGAGATAAGCATTTCCTCTCTCTCACTGGGGAGACACTAGTTGGTTTATTCAGCTCCACAAAATTTGAGATCTCAAAAACAGATATTCCAGGTAAAAATTGAAGCTTCTCTTCCCCCTGAAGACTATATTTACTTGCCATTTGGCAATATCACTTTCAGAGGATGCTACAAGGATTAACAAATGCCCTTCTGTTCTCAGCAAACACAAAAACAGCAGTTAATAAATGTCAAAGCCTATAGTCCCCTAGAAACAGAGTCAACCAGAGGAGACATGGAGTCCAGTGGGTCTTAGATCTAGGGTGCTTAGGAAGCCCGCTAACATGTGGCATTTCCAGTACACTAGTGAAGTAGATACAACCCTGTCTCTCTATAGGCCAGGTACAGACATTACACTTTTACTGGTATGAGTGATCAGAAATCAGTCTTTGCCCATTATAGAACAGAAGTTTGGCACACAGAGTGGTTTAAAAGTGGCAGAACCCAGTCTAAAATTTGCCCCTTCCCCCCCAACACCACCACCAAAGGGCAAATGTGTGTTCTGTTCACTACTGATCTATACTACAGCACTTACAGAAAACTGCGTAACTTAGATCAATTCCACCTCAGGCTTTTTAATGTCTATACCTAGCCCTAGTGTCCTGGCCTAGCTGCTATAACATTATTACTACCTCACAAATAAAGTTCTATTTTGGGTAACAGAAGCCTGGTTTTTGTACTGAAGGTTGTGGGTTTAATACCTGCCAATAACCATACTACAATGCAGCCATGGTTTATTACACACAGAGTGGGAAGGAAGAACATAGGGAACTTTTCTTCTTGTGATTCAATGCAAGGGCCAAATACACAAACAACTACCTCTGTGCTCTGGAGACTGTAAGCACTACTGTATTCTAGATTTCTCAGAGGCACAAATAAACCAAATGGATTGGGAAGAGGCAGAGAGAAGAGAGGGCAGGGCATTAAGAACCAGTCAACTACCCAGCAGGATGCTGCAGCTGTATACTGTAGGATGACATTGTCTTTATGTTCAAAGTAGTTATGCCTGCTGAGACAATTCCTCCTGGAGCTCCTGCTGGGGTAGTACAACTGCACAGTCCCCCCAGTGAGCCAGACTGTAAATTACAAAATTGATTTAAAATGAATATAGAACGACAATGCTGTAGCGAGGAACATAATACATCATCAGTTCCTTGAATCCAGCCAAAGCATTGACAACTACCCATTCAAAACACAGGGTCCATGGATACACTCACAGATATCTATGCACCTTTTGTGTAGCCAACACCCTACATTTTCACACACAAAAATTCTGGCAATGAGGCAACTGGTCAAACAGACCACTTGCCTGAATTGTTGAGATGAATCCACTCTTCCTACAGTAAAAATTTACCAGTTCAGCCCATTTTTTAAAGTTAAGCTGTCATCTACCTTAAAAGGAAAACAAATAGAGCGTATAAATATATATGAATTGTCATGGACTGCAGATCCAGCAGGCATGGCTTTCACTGTGATCATGGAAATCTGAAATCATAGTCACAACTCCTAATTCTTGATTCCTCTACAAATAACCAGTTTACAATGACCACACTGCACAGGCAAAACATTCACTCCCTATAAGGAAGCAGATGAGCCAGAGAGGTAGAGGGGAGTTAGCCAACCACTAAATGTATTATCATCTCCTAATAGCCAGTCAAGCAGTGGCAATAGTAACTGCTTTGATGGCGATTTTTCACCCACACTCTGGAACAATAAAAAGATGCTAATGAGCAGCCAATCTAAGACTCATTGGTAAGGCGGAGGAAGAACAGCAAGGAGAATAAAAGCACAGAGGCAACAAAAAGTCAAAATAAAACTGCTCTCTGATTTAGCCATACTGGCAGTTTTCTATACTTAAAAGCATTTAGAAACATTAATGAGGAGTGCAACATATTCCAGTTAAATTAGGAGGGTGTGAACAAAGCTGACAGCAGTCTACAAGAGGCATCAGCTAATCTCCCCCAAATCTGCATTCACTAATATTCAGAGATGAACTTTCCATGGGTCTAAAACCCTTTATCAGAGTATATTTTTATGAACTACTTCTGTGATATATGCAGGGAATTACCACAACAAAAATTATACATGAAACTTTTATAATTATACTGGGGGAAGCAGAAACATTTGGCAGTGGTGCTTTCTCTGCACAAACTATTATTTTCTAGGCGGAAGTATCAGCACAACATATATCACAATAATGAGACACCTTGAATTTCTCTTGCTCATTCTCTGGGTAAATTATGCATCAATGCTAGGGAAATACCTTCTGTCCAATAATTAATAAAGTAGTAACTTGTTCTGAGACCTTGACACTAAGATTCCTATGAGAATCACAGATGTTATTTATATTTTTAGTCACTTTAATCCTTTTAAATATGTTTATTCTTAGTAAACTCATTTGCAGTGCTGTGCATATAAAAGCATAAAGAACGTGCATTTTAACAGCACTAGGAGCAATAAAATATACCAACTCCATTTTCAACCAGCAACATTTCACAGGTCTTCAGCATTCTGAAATTCTAAACTAAAGGGCTGGTTTGTGCTGATATTTCTCCAGTGTAGCTACTTTTATTAACACTGTAAATAAATTGTAGGCTGCAGACACTCCTGATAAACTACCAAAGGAGTACTGGTGACAGCAAACTGCATTTAGCCAGGAGATCAAGCTGAAAAATAAACTGCATGTCAAGTAGCTGGATCAATATAATAATTGCTCCAGGCTGGAAAAATTACAATCCATGGCTGAAGATGCACAACTACTTTCCTAGGTTACATACTATATCTTGTGCTACAAAAAAAGTTTATAACCCATTTTTATGAAGCAGATGATGTACCAAAAGTGCTTTCATGATGGCAACATCTGTATTTAGGGAGAAGAATGAGCTGCAATATAAACTGCACATCAAGTACTCTGATCAATATAATAATAGCTGCAGGCTACAAGAAATTACAATCTCTGCTTGAAGAGACATGAGTACTGTATTATATATGTCACAACTTCTGCTATGTAGGCAACAGTGTAAGCTATTTATATAATGGCAGAAGTTGTTGTTAAGCATGTAGTTTCATTAATTGTTGACATTTATGCCAAGAGGCTCTGTACCCCAGTTTACCACCTTCCACTGCTGAGTTACCACATTTCCTCTCTATATTTCTTCCTCAGGTTCCAAAGCTGTGACAGTTAGCTGGCATTCAGCAGGAGTGAGGATTTCAGAGGAAACAAAATGAAAACAAGACCCCAGGATTTGATTTCCTTTTGATAAACATGCCCAAGATGTCACCTTGAAATCCAGCATGTGATAGTTTAAATGAAGCTCTTAGAACACTTAACAATAGAGCTCCTTCAATACAGTGTTACCTGCTGGTTCATCAGACAATCATACAGATACACCCTCCAACACTGCCAAAGCACTACTGTTTTAGAAACAGCCTAAATTTGTCCCTTACCTGTCTCTTTGTCCTGGACTGCTTCCAGGTGTAAGTCATTCAGGAGATGCTCCAAAATCTTCTCTGGTGTTCCCGATACCACCACATATCTGTCAGAAAGCAGACAGTCCACAGAATCATCCTCTGTTGAAGACTGTGAACGGCTGCTCCATTCATCCTCCTCATCCTCCTCATCAATATATTTAAAATAAGGCACATCAAATGTAGGCAGGGGCAGCTCCCTGCCTAGAAAGGCTGCAGAATCTTTCTTCTCTAAATCAGGGTCAAAGATCCTCAACCTGGAACTTCCCATAATGTACGATTAATAACAAAGACATTCCCTAAATGCTACTGTGTCTTGCCATCTTAGTTCTCTTGCTGGTATCTGAGTCCATCTGGCTGCTGAGAGCTCTGCAGTCAGCGTGCGTGCGCGCGTGTGTGTGCGTGTGTGTGTGAGAGAGGGAGAGAGAGAGAGAGAGAGAGAGAGAGAATGTTTCTCTGAGCACCCAAGGAAAAAACTCTTACCTCCAGTCATTCTCGGCACTCCCTGATGTGGGGGCTGAGCTGTGTGACGACACTTTCCTAAGCACCAGAACATCTTGGTCTTGCTCCTTCTCTTGAACAGTAGTCACTTCATCATCCGGCTTTAATTCAGAGGGGGGGAAATAACAGAAAGAGAAACTGGTAAATTCTCATGGGACTCCAGGGGAAAAATGAAAGAGCTGATTAGGGCTACATTTTCTTCCTCTTGAAGCTGTTACATACTGCAGTTTCTGCTCATGATTTACAATCGAAAGATACACAATGCACCAGGCATCTGGGCAGATCTCTGAAACCTTTAATATGTATTGACAGAGCTGGAACCTAGAGAAATCAGTTTCCTTTGCTAAGTATTTAATTTTTTTTTCCTTAGTTGGAAAACAGGACAGAAGAAATGTTCCCCTTTGCTACTCTTTGTCACCAGTTTTTAGCACAGTGTATTGGATTGTTATTTGCACTAACAGTGGTGTATTCATTTTCCATTTGGTGCATGCATGTTTTATTGTTTCTGAATTGCTGGTCTGTTTAATGTCTAACAGATCAAATAAATTAGAGGATGACATACAATAGTTAGAGAACTGCAAACATTTCATGCCATTCATAATAGGCTTACTTACTATGCAAACAAAATATACGAGCTGTAGAACTACTTATGTGGGTTTAAAAAGAGTGGCAGTAAATGCACAGCAACGTACAGCCTTTATTTATATTTTTCATTCAAACCTTTTTTCTGCCACCTTTTAACTTTCAAAACAAAATGACAAACATAGGAAGCTATGTTTAGTGAACATCCATGGTCTGACTCTCAACAAAGTGGAGAACTGGATGATATGGGTCAATGCGCTGACTTTCTTCATCTCAGTTCCCTTAAAACAGGAGCAAGCCGGACAATCAAATCATCAATTTCTGCACAGGCAGCCTATATCCACTGCCACAGAGCAACTAAAGCCAGCTGACTATGCAATGTAGAAGATGAGGGTTGCTGCTGACTGAGCAGTGTACATTGACACATACCAACTGCTAGTCCTCCTAGTGGATCCTGCCCTAGAAGCATGAAGCAGCATAAGGAAAGCACAAAATGTAAATGCAGTTACATATTTCAGTTCTTGTTGATGTATCACTGATGACTTGTGGGGAAAAATATTCAAATGCTTAATGGTAATTGGATTTAGAATTATGCTATTCACTAAGTCAAATATATGTTTTAGATTATTATTTGAGCAATAAAACTAGCACTTACATGGCAACTGTACTATATTCAGCAGCTGAGAGAAAATTCAGCCAGGCCCAAGATTTATTTAAAAATGTATGGTTAGTGTCCCCCTTCCTCTCATTTATTTAAATGGCCTCTTGTGGGCTAAGATCAAGTTTTATTCACAATAGCACCCCACCGTTTGTCAGGATCACGAGTCCTTGCTCTAAAGATCCAACAGTTAAAAGAGAGTTTTATCCATAAACACCTTATAGAATTGATCTATTTAATTTCAGCAAGGTTGGATACACCTTGGTATCAAGCCAATTAATGTCAGATATTCATTGCAAAATTTCCAGGGGACATTAGTGAGAAGCCACATAACAGAAACACTGATGCATATTCGTAACCTTCCATTTCACGGGATGTATTTTTGTTGCCTGTGTATTTGCAGAGCTGCAATAAAAGCAGCAAAAAATAAAAAGAGAACAAAACACATGTAACATTATAAGAATTATACAATATAGGTTTATACAAATAAGCCTCTCTCTCTCTCTCTCTCTCTCAAACATCCTCTTAGAACACCCTGAAACTATTATCCCTGAACTAACTGACATTTTGAAATGCACCATATATTGGATATGTACACGATGTATAGCTTGCCAATTAACCATCTACGTAAATATATGTGAAGATGGGTATATAGTATATATGTGTACATATGCAGGTTGCTGCAGCTCAACAGTGGGAAGGATGGAGGTGGAAGCTGTGACATACTGATATGGGCATGAACAATACCTTATGCTAGGAAGATAGAGTTTTTACTCTGAAATCCTGCTAAATAGGGAAGATTTCCAATAAAGATGATAAAACCCAATTAACTATTTGAAAAAAACTATTCAAATCTACTATGTATATAATACCCAGACGGTGAAGTTTTCACAAGATTCTTCTTTCCTGTCGTCTTTATTTTAATTTGAAGAAGAGGAGCAAGAAATCAAATGTCAGTACCCAGTTTTGTAAAAAAAACAAGGGTGTGAGGGTTGTATCCAAATTCGCTTTTTTTCTAAAAGAGAAGATCTCAATCAATGGTGAGGTATTGTGGGTAAGGTTCCAGGTTTGGCCCACTTAAAAAAGAAAATACTTTCCTTCACTAAGGGATTTAGATGAAATTCTGGTTATTCATTAAAAAAAATTCTGGCTTCAGACTGACCTAGTAATTGTTCTGCAATCAAACTTTAATTTTAAATATAAACAAATGAACAAACAAACATGAAGAAATTGCCCATTCATTTCACTGGTTTTGGTAAGCTTTGTTTTCAAGGCTGAAAAGTAATAATCTGCTATTATGTAAATATGAAGACAAGTTTCTCTTACTAGCATCCTGTATGGACCATGAAATAGGGAATCCCTATTGGAAGACAACTGTGAACCTGGGTTGCTCTCCTACAGCCACGGGTAGAAAAGAGTGAGGAGGGGTGGAGGCCACTAGGGATGCCTTCCTGTTAAATACCATAAAATATTCAAGACCAAGGACAGTCACAGACATCATGTCCCTTGAAATAGAAATAAAATAACAATATAATTAAAATGTAAGTTTTCACATTCAAGTTACTTAACAAGAAAAATATTTAAGGTCTTTGTTTTTCAAAGCTATCTGCATGCATTGTCCAATTAACCTGGGGAGGTAAGCAGATCGGTATAATAATTGCCGGTTATCACTATTTTCATTGTACAGATATGTAAATAAAACCAAAGCAGAGAAGTTACCCAAAGTCATCAACAGAATCACAACTGAAACTCAGGTGATCCTGGGATCCCAGTTTCAATTTCTTTTTGCAAAATTTCATCTCTCTTCTGATTTTGCTCCTTTACCATCTCCTCCATCCTAGAATAGGGAAGAAATAACACTACCTGGTTGCTAGGTTCAGGATTTGCTTGGATTTATGCTTTTCTGGAGGAATCATGGCCTAGGGCAGGGGATGCCAACCTGCAGCATGCATGCCACAAGTGGAATGGGGAGCTTGTGTTTGTGGCACATGGCAGATGGGGGAAGGGACACACAGTACAGTGGCAGATAAGCCAGGAAGTAGAAAGCAGAGCAGCAGATAAGACATGGAGCCCAGGGTAGGGAACAGAAAGCAGAGCAACAGATTTGACACGGAACAAAAATCAGAGCAGGATATAGGGCTGGGGAAGGGGATTGGAGTGGCACGTAGGGAGGCTGCAGGGCTTATTTGTGGCACACCTGCCCTAGAGCAGGGGTTGGCAACCCCTGGCGCACGTGCCGAGCATGACACATGAGGCCATTTTCCTTGGCATGCACTGGGGCCAGGGAGGCAGCAGCTGTTTGTAGCCTCCTGGCTGCAGCCGGCCCCAGCTCTGGGTAGCTGCTGCCAGCCAGGAGCCCAGGCTGCTCCCAGCAGGCAGCTGGGATGTTGCAAGCCCTGCTGGGA